CACTAAAAAAGAAAACCCAACCCTACTACGATCAGTAGCTATCACTAAAATTTAAACTACCTGGGACAGCTGGGCCCATATATACACTGATGGATCCAAGAATCCTATCAACAACAGTGCTGGTTACGGGATCCATATCCACAGCTCCAAACCCCAAGCACATTCAGTTCGCTTGCCTGATGGTCAGTCAGTATTCACGGCTGAATTGGAGGCAATTCATCATGCACTCAAACTCATTCCGGAACTTCCGGAAGCAAAGGCAGTTGTCCTATCAGACTCACTAAGTGCACTTCAGGCCATCAGTGGCAGAAACTCAAACTCCAGGCCAAACACAGTCAACAATATTCTATACGAATAAACAAAACTATCGGACCAAGGGCAACAGGTGGAGCTGTATTGGATCCCCTCTCACATAGATATTCATGGAAATGAAAAAGCAGACTCACTGGCGAAGCTAGCTCTAGACAAAGCGGATATACAGCCTATTCCCTTTAGTAAACTAGAGATAAAAAGCAAAATCAAAGCTTCAATAGCAGAAAGATGGCAAGCCCAATGGGATGCAAGTAAGATCGGCAGATGGCTATACAAAATTCAACCCAAGGTCCAACAAAAGCCAAACTCATACTCAAATGAAAGGAAAATTGAAATTGCTATCTCACACCTTAGACTCGGTCACAAAAAGCACTATGACAAGGTTTGTTCATCTTGCAATCAGGCATAAACCATTGATCACGTGTTACTAGAATGTCAAGACCATGCCCCAGCCCGGGCTAGGTTAAAACAAGAATTGCAGTTAGATCCGCTATCTGTCATAGATCTCCTAAAGCCAAGAGATGCAATAGCGAAGGCCAAACTAACTCTATTTCTGAGAGATGGACAGCTACTCGAACGTATATAAACAGAGCAGCCAAGGATACAAATGAAATCATATCAATGTAAGAAAATAGAAATCATCTCAAGACAAAAACAGAAATTATGTGAACACCAAATTCACAATAGATAGGTGTACCCTACTCACACACAGGAGTCCCAAAGAGGGACAGGTCAGCCGAAATTGCCTAGGCATGAAGGCGACCTCCTAAACACTTAATGCAACAACAACAACATGTTAGGGCAGAAGGGGGTTTGACTCTCATACCAAGCAGACCTCTCTCCCACAGCCTAGAGGGTTGTACCGACTCTCTGTGGCACCCCCAGCTATATTCTAAGATTTTGTAAATTGCTCATTGTTAATTGTTCTTGTAAATAAAATTGTGATTAGTCTCCTGTGACTCCGGCTCTTTGCTGACTAATTCCCCCAGAAAACCAGCACGCCATTTGGACGGTTTTGTTCATGCCATAACAGTCCATGATATACCCGTTGGTTCAACCTTATACGATTATCCTGATAATTCTATACCAACAGAGCTTACTTGCATCTTTTATTGTGTAATTCTGAGACGAGATGAAAAGAAATACTAACATAATAATGAACAAATATATGTCCAATATTGGATATAATTTTGGTTGTTTTGAAATATTCTTTTGTGTATTTCATTACGTAAGTTGATCCCAAACAGGTGCGTGTCTTGACCAATTAAGACACATGATAAACTATCAAATTGTTTACATATTCAAGACATTATTTACTTGGTGAAAACAGTCATTTCATGTTGTGTCGAAAACGCGTGAAATTCCGTTTTACACATCGAGAATGTCCATGCCATGAACAAAAATTTGGGGAGATATATATTAATCAAAATACCAGTGTCATCTTTCTCCGACGTTATCAAAGATATAAAACCAGCCATGACGTAAAAAAGAATGCTTATTTTTTTGGTATTTCAGTACATTTGATGATACGACTAGTGCTCCATTAATAATGGTGCAACATTAGTCAAATTGCACTTACACAATCAAGAGAATGTTGGAATCTAAGGACTAAGTTATGGGTTAGATTGTGCGATTCATTTCTCTATTACCTCTTTTTTTATGAAGTACGATTTCATAATTTCTTATGTGTGATTTTTTTTTTAATAACTAAACGTATACAGTTTCAATATCGATATTTGTGTTGGAATAGTTTGGTTCCTCGAGAACAAAACACCATGAAAATATATTGTCCTTATCCACAGCTAATTCTCACCAAGTGATCGAGTTACAATAAACTAGTGCGAAGCATAGCGGAGTTATGTCCACTTTTCTTTGTACGTGTGTAACCTCTCTGTCGTCTTTTGACATCATAGAGAACAAGAAAAAAAGTGAACGTGGCTCACTAATACCCCCGACCCGTGTAGTGTGTCAGTAGTTTCAAATTAAATAGCGAGGATAGGGTTAGGGTTTGAAAAATTCATAAAAAAATGGAAAATTAATAAAAACATTTTTTTTCTTTTGACTGCACCCCTTCATATGACACAGATTATATGTACTAAGTTTGAGATGAATCAACTGAATAGTTTAAGAGAAATCGCGCTGACCTGTTTTCGCCGGCCGGCCGGAACCTTGGTATAACTATATACCCACGACATTTTGACGGGGGTATAAAAATCAGTTTTCGTCATTTACGGCAAGATGTTTTTGGCATTGAATGTATGTCGTTATACAAACGCATATAACACCATTGGATATGTAGTTATGTCGTTCAGATATTAGGCAGTATTTTGTTCACTCACAGTTTCTGTACAGCTTCTAAATAAAAAAAATTGTCTCACAGTACTTTTATCGGTGTACGATAAAAAGCGGACAAATTCACTGTTTTTCAACACAGAATAAATTCCCGGAGAACACTTAGAAGTGTCTTTTTAAAAAACTGTTTAATAATTGCAGTTAAATTTACACCATCAAATAGGAAATTTAATATTCTCCACCTCTCCGTAATTTTATAGCTAAGGTAGATCCAGTGCCGCGTGAGCACAATTCTCGCACAACCTTCACTTTTCCAATCTTAGGAAAATGTGCGTCAGAAATAAAAACTCGTCATCCAGAGGGTTAATACGGCATTTGCTGCTGAGAAAAGGTGTATATCCTTACAAATATATGGATGATTAGTTTAGATTTGACGAAACTAAATTACCACCCGTTAAATCATTCTATACTAACTTAACAGAATCTAAAATAACCAATGCTGATTATAAACACGCTCTAAATGTGTGAGATTAATTGGTTTGTTAGAATTTAGGCAATTATCACAATCTGTACTTAAAAACCGATGTACTGTTACTCACCGATAGATTTGAGATATTCAGAAAAACCTGTTTAAAACAATATGGCTTGGATCCAGCATGGTACTATTCCAGTCCCGGACTCTCTTGGGATGCATTGTTGAAGAAGACCGAGGTTCAATTAAAATTACTCACCGATTATGATAAGCACTTGTTTGTTGAGAAAGGATTAACAGGTGGTATGTTGATGACGGCGAAAAGGTATTCTAAAGCCAATAATAAATTAGTGGAAGGATATGATTCGAGTAAACCTACTACGCACATATTATATCTCGACGCCAACAATTTGTACGCATGGGCGATGAGTCAACCTTTACCCACGGCGGTTTTGAGTTGGTAAACAATATCGATGTGAATGATATTCCCAAAGATTCAGATAAAGGCATCTTCCCGAGGCAAGAGAGTTAACTGACTATAAAAGTCCAGTTTCCACCCTTGCCGAACTAGGCTGGTATTATAGAGTTACATTTTGGCTGGACTAACAAGTCTATGCAAAATCCAATCAAAATTGTGCACCAAAATCGAAATCCGGTTCTTTAACTGTCATGCAGATTTCGGTCGATTGCAGGATTTGCAAAGCATGTGCACCGCCAACTTAGCGTCAGCAGATATTTTCCAAATCTTTTCATGTTTTTAATCAAGGTGCTCACGTGATTTGATGCATTTTTCGATGTAAGACCTGTTTTATCACAATATAGATTTTGATTATCGATCAGATCGTCCTGACAAGGTGCCACCATTTTGTGGGAAGCAAACGCAAGTGATACGAGAGGTGGAATCTGATTGGTCTATCGGAGAGGCTTAGAAGGGACATAAATGGTAATAGCCACTGGTGGCGCTACGATTGAGCCTAGTAATTCCAGCCTAGTTCGGCAAGGGTGGAAACTGTACTTTTAAAGTCAGTTAACTCTCTTGCCTCAGGAAGATGGATAAAGGCTACATACTAGAAGTTGACTTAGAATATCCAACCGAGTTACACAAAGACTATAACACTTATCTGCTAGCTCGCGAAAGATTAATGGTTAATAGAGATTGGATGTCAGAATATCAGCACTCCTTGGTGGGTAATATTAGGTTAGCTAACGTAGAAAAACTCGTACCAAATTTGATGGATAAGACAAAATATATAGTCCACTGTAGAAATCTCCAGTTATATCTAGTTTCAGATACTATTTATCTGATCATTGCATCAAAAATTCTTTGAAGTTATAATAATTGTGTATTTCTTAACCTAATCACTGGTAGCTGATTTCTATTTCTGGCTTAGTTTATGAGAAAATACACACCATAATCTTTATTTCTGCATATATAACAATGCCTAGCAGAATTGAAAATACAATTTAAAAGGTAAATCATCATGTTCAGTGATGATCTGAATTTCACATTTTATTGATGAAATTTGTTATCACCTATTAGTTTATCTGAATTCTCTGAAGGGAAACTATGCAGTTATTTAACTGTACACCATATTATGCTGTATACCTTTATTAAGATATACGGCTTCTCATTCTCGATTCGGTTTCGTGTCGATTCGATTAGGTGTCGCTTCCTGCATCGCAACAAGAACACAAGTAGAACCAGTCAAAATTATAGTCCATAATAAGCAAATTTTCAATCCACGAAAGAAAATGCCCATACCCATTTCAAGACTTTCAAACTTCAGAGTGTTTTGTCCCTTTAGTGATATGCTAGATACCTAGAGGGTGGGGGTTGGCACCCTCTAATACATATTACACACAGTAAGCATAGACATGTTTCGTCACTGGGGCCTTCACAGGTAAAACTGAAAAATGAACTCACCCTGTATGACACATCGTCGAATTCACCATTTTTCAAAATGAATAAACATACAGAAATAATCTTGCTCTTGGTCTGATCAGTTTGTGTGGTCTTCTCTATACACCCATGAGGGTTCATGGTGAATGTTACATTAGTTTACCAAGCGGTCTTCTCTTGAAGTTGTTCCCGGACAAAGAATGATTTCAGCACACCTCTACTTTTAGTTCTCAACACTATATTCACAGACACTCCGTGTCCTCCTGTAACATGCGAAGTGAGAGTAGTTTAAAAAATTGTAATTAAAAATTCGATCGTAACGTGTACCGTAGTCTGTGTTCAAAACTACACAAGTTTCTTACTGTCTCGTTGGTTAACTATCAGCAATGATATAGGCTGGCTCCTAACACAATTTCTTCTTCCACTTTTTGGTTCACTTCGAAATCTTCGTGAATTGCCCCCTTGAGTAGAAAACTGTTACACGAGATTGTGATCTTGAAACATTAGTTCAGATATATTATTGATTTGATAAATTATAACATCAATGTCGTGATTCAGCGTCCAGGGTGCAGGTTGTTAACATTATTTTTAATGGACTCGGACAAACAGAGTCTGACTGAAACGGCTGCTTTCCAAAACGGCTCTATATTTGATTGACGAAATCATCCCCCCACACACAATTTAGCAGACGATGACCACTGCATCATGGATTACACGGACGTATACACAACATAACTATCAAATAATCAAATGGTTTTGCCTTCCTCAGAAATATTTGAAGATAACCTTTTCAAGTCTTATTTCTGGAAAGATATGGCTCATGATAAAAAAAACCAAAGAGGTATTCGGCAATGTGCAAATCGGTGTGTTGAGGTTTAATGTTTTTCACGGATTTGAGTAACAGCAACAATTATAGTCTCGGTCCGTGAATAAAACCTTGTTTTTACTCAAGTTCATTTTGCTTTCGTGAGATTTGGCAGTATAAGTGTATTTTTAATCTGGGGCTGTTTTCGTATTGAACGATTTGGCTCGAGGCCGGATTTAGCTATAAACCTTGTAATCAAAACTGACACGTCTGAGCGCGTCAAAAAATAGTAAGCTCGGCAACAGCGCGTATCCTGTATGTTGATGAGCGGAGTTTTGGAAATTGTTCGCACCCAAATCCATTCGTGACCAACTCGTGTAATCCGGGACAAGACGAATATCGGCTCATTCTTCACTTGACACCCGGCTACCTCCAGGGTTGTAGATTAGAACTGAGCCCAAGGAAAAGACTGCAAGGCCGATCCATATAGGTTACACAAAAACAAATGTTTTCCCAGATACTTCTACAGTAACGTTATGTTTACTTACCAAATATATAGGCATTCAAGGGCAATTATACATATGTGTCTGCATGGGCGGATACAGGGGGGGGGGGGGGGGGGGGGGGGGGGGGGGGGGGTGCGCGCATCCCCCCCCCCCCCCCCCCCCCCTTTTTATTTCGAAAAATCTTTATTTCTGTATAAATAAATAGAGACAATAAATAGATCTTAATTGTGCACCACCCCTTTTAAAAAAAAACTATCCGCCCATGGTCTGTACAGTCGGGTCTTAATTTAAAGGGGCACCAATCTCTGGCTTTTTCTCGGCTGTCTGACACAGGCCGATAGGGCTCACTAGCTACCGTGAGTCGATTTGTTCGCTAACCCAACTGAGCGTGACAAGAGACTTGGGCTACCGTCTTCAAAGACAGATAAATAAACTTGGAGTCAGTATTTGTTTTGATGCATTTTTTAGAACTGATTGGTTACCCGTGATATATGAAGATTTCGATAAAGGGCGCATGTTAATTGATGCCTTCAGCCTAAAGAAACAGACAAAAAGAAGCTCGTCGGATGTCGTTATTTGGAAATACCCCTGATGGTTATAGTTTGATAATAATACTACCCCCTTCTTGTCATCCATGTTTTCAGGTATAACCCTACAGTTGTGTTGCCATAAGTTTCCTGAATCTTTCTTCCTCATTAGATCTGACTAATGCGTCCTTAGATTCTCCATAGTTTTACCAAATACTGAGTTATTCATGAGCTTATATAGTTTTTTTTCGAAATCGCTGGTAGCCATCTTTCTTAAATCTGTGTTAAGCCATATATAGGGCTCCATCCAAGGGCTTTCATCTAACTTTAGAACTCTGTGTATTTTCTTTATTTTCATGCTTCACTATAGATATAACTGGAGATTTCTGTAGTGAACTATTATCTTTTGCCTTATCCATCAAATTTGTTTCAAGTTTTTCTACGTTAGCTAACCTAGTATTGCCCATCAAGGAGTGTTGATATTCTGACAACAATCTTTATTAACCATTAATCTTTCGGTATAAATACGTTGGGCTTAACATCATTAACATCCATGTTGGAATTAATATCCATCTTCCAACCTCTTAGATATTTACCAACGCTGGCTGTGGGTACAAATCTTAACTCAACCTGTTGATTTTTATCAACAACAGCGGGTTTATTATTATCAAGTAAAGCAATCAATTCAACTTTTCTCATTTGAGAATAACCTCTCAGCCCACCTTTTTTCGTTTGAGCTTTGAGTTCTCTGACAGTCTGTGGTTTGTTGTATTCCAAACCGAGTAAATCAATCAATTCAGCTTTTTTCATTCGAAAATAACCATGTAGACCACGTTGTTTTGCCAAAGCTTTCAGCTCTCTGACATAAGTCATTGTGATATATAACTACATGTGAACTAATATCTAATTGGTTTGAATTCTACCCAATCTATTTATCTCATTCATCGCAGTAATCCTTTTTCCTCTCGTTTTTTGTCAGGACCGTGACTCTTACATATACAGTACCTACCTTTGACCCGAATCCCACATACAGAACACGTATAATTAAGATGCCCTTTTCTAATTGCAAAGGCATGTATACCACAATATATACCGACGCAACGTCTGTTGCATTGAATTGGTTTTCCCATGAGTGTAAATTTACATCTGGATGTGCCCCTCGCCATTGTGATAAATATTACACTTCTAGTATCATTTGTCTAAATGCGTTGCAGCGCGACACAGATGAGCAGTCAGGGTTATTATTAATAGCTGATATGACTCAGCCCGACATAGTGCATAATAGATCATAGCTTATGCATAATAATGTAGCTAAATATGGACACGCTAGTCAACCAAAAAACTATAAACGCCATCTTGCGGTCTTTCTGAGCCTCTGACGGTGTATAAAACTGAGAGAGTGTTGGCCTTGGTATGGGTCAAATGTCTTTCCGTAAACAAGGAAGTATTTGTGCATGGCAATTTCAACATCCTTAAACGTTTGAATTGAATGTCTTTGTTTACGTAGTTCATCATTGATAAAATCTAATCTCTCCATTCTACGTCTGGCCCATTGTGACTGGGCTGTTTCGAGTTGTTCTAATGTTTTATCATGTCGTTTACGCTCCTCTTCAATTTCTTTAGCGTTTGATTCCCGCAGAGTAGAAAATAAATAATTACTCCTCGAAAAAGCTAGAGCATTAACAATAGCTCCACCGACCATCATCGCAATTGATGCCATACTATATGTTTATAAAATATTCAAATGTTTAATTACTTTTATACTAAGTTTTCCTATAATAATTAGATTCACATCAAGTGCTTTTATAAATTATCATAGTGTTCTATTTATAGAACATTTCACATAATTATAGTTCAGCAAGTTATACATATCATCAAGTAAAATGCATATACAAAATATCAGTAATTTCAGTCATAGCTTTGTCGATAGATGCTAGCGGGAACACATCTCCTAGACATACTATTCAATAAGACAAAAGTTATGTCTACATAGTTTAATAGATTTAAAGCTTTCAGATAAATTCTAGCCTAAGGTATCAAGATGCCATCTCCCAGACATAATATCCAATAAGACAAAAGATATGTCTCCATAGTCTTATAGATTACCTTGAACTATGTTATTTAAGTAAATCTGTCATCACCTATATTAGAATAACATTCAGCAATTACTTCAATTTAGGCTCATTAATGATTAGGATTAGCCCTGTCTAGCCATTTGTTAACCGTAAGGCACACCCCATTGTGTATCAACCAATCATATTCCTTTTTATTGTTCTAAGTTTTGTTAAATACATACAGAAGCAAAATGTTAAGCAGAAGGGGTTTGTCGCTCTAACCAAGCAGATCTCTCTCCCACAGCCCAGAGGGTTGTACCGACTCTCTGTGGCACCCTCAGCTATATTCTAAGATATTGAAAATTGTTCATTGTTAATTGTTCTTGTAGATAAAATTGTGATTAGCTTCTTGTGACTCCGGCTCTTTGCTGACTAATTCCCCCCAAGAAAACCAGCATGCCATTTGGAAGGTTTTGTTCATCCGAATAAAACCATAATAACTTCATTATGTCTTCTGGGATAAGCCCTTGTTTGATTAGCATATCTTTTGTAACCATTGCTTGGCCTACATCTAGAACCATCATACCGATATCATAACCATTAAAATCTAGCTTGGGTGGTGTGGCTTTAGTAATCATTTTAGCTATACGGGCATAGCCAATGGCCAAACCGATGAACACCGCTGAATGATACATTGCGTTTACCATCATTTTACCGTCTGTAACAGGAGTAGTCATTGCTTTATAACATTACATGAGAGCTTAACTCTAATTGAACCTCATCTAATTTTTGAACTTGTGGTCTTATAAAACCATACCGCTACTATAGCAACAACCCCTAGTACATAGGGAGCCCAAGTTTTAATCGGGCTATGTTCAGTATTGTGTATTAGTTTTGCCTTCCTCGCTAGCACACCCTTCCTACCAGCTGCGACTTTTCGAGGATTCTTAGTCACTCTAAGGATGCAATCGCTTGTGTTTGTGGTGCAATTGGGAATTGTGTTTCCTCGTTCGCTTGTTGTATTTCCGTCTCCATTATTAGTAAGTGGGTACATATGTTTAAATTAACAATACCTAGCCGTTATAAAAGTGGTGGTAAGTGCCACTAAGAACATTCCGTATCTATGATAAAACTCACAGCTTACTGCGCTTATAGCGTGTTTGATGAATGGGTCTTTCTATAGAGATTCACATAAATACATGTGATTTTCTGCCAGGATAGAAAGAAATGTACTAGCTACAGTTGTGTATAGATGTAACATAGCCGAACCTATTGTTTTAGTCATGGTAGCTCCCAGTCTAGACTCGTAACGCGCATACAGTTTTTTAATTTCCTCATCGGTCATGTTATCAATTTTTTCAGTGGTATAATTTTCCCCAAAATATTGGGAACATTTTCCACCAGCTACCAAAGCAGCGAGTCTTTCTCTATGTTTATCTAAAGATTTATTTACCATAGGTTCTGGCTCATCTTGGAGCATTTGTTCGATGAGTTCGTCGCATTCCTTAATGTAATACCTAGGAAATATTTAAGTCTAACATAATGAAATATTGCATATCCAATACAGCCCAAAATAATAAACTGTTGCAAAAGAATGAGTATTTCAAACCACATTATTACATAATCACCGCTAATGTTCAATTTATCGCATTTTTCCTATTTTTGCTATATTTTTTGCTATTTTTGCTATA